CTGTCCATCCTTCCCGGCTTTCACATGACCTATTTCCGCGAAAATTTACTTATATGTGAAGCTATAAATACTAGGACTTTACAATCACGTGTGGGCATATTACCACCCGATAGAGTCACACATACGACAAAAGAATCCTATTTTTACTGGCTCGTGTTTATGAATTCACATTTGTATGAATCGTTAGATTGTGATCAACGTGGATTTCTTAATACGCTCTCGTTTGATATAAACGTACGTTAATGAATAAGTGACATTTTAGTTACAAGCCTGGAGATGGCTGTCAAAATTCAGCGGACTTTATGTGTCAGTTAGAATGAAATGACATGTCAAAGCATTTAGCATTTAGCTTTTATTTAGAAAGCATTTACGTTATTATTATTGACTGTTGTAGCAATATTTATTGAAAAGTTTGTATTTCAGCCGTTGGTACTTGTTACGGAATGGCTATGTAAAGCTATATATAGATTGTTGTGTTAAACGTGGTTAAAAATATTTTGACTTTGTGGTGTCTGATGACATTTGCCGACTCTCGACTTCTTACTTTCGATCGACTCTCGACTTTTTACTCTCGATCGACTCTCGACTTTTTACTCTCGATTGACTCTCGACTTTTTACTCTCGACTTTTTACTCTCGACTTTTACTCTCGACTTTTACTCTCGACTCCCGACCTATACTCTCGACTCTCGACCTCGACCTATACTCTCGACTCTCGACCCTCGACTTTTAGATACAGTCACCAAAACATCGTTGGTGAGTCACGCCCGCGATGATTGACGAACTTTAGACTCGCTAATGCTTTCGTTTCCCCGGGTGTAAATAGCCGGGGGGAATTAGTACCCTCGGAAGCGCCGTCGGCTCGGGGATAATACGAGCTTATTTACATGCAGTATGTTGGATTTTCACGATGCAAACGATCGACAATATTTTGAATAATTCCGGTAAGGATAGCTTTATTTCTTTCTGGTGACATGCAAGAAGGCATTTATATTTAGATTTGCTGTTCATATTTTCACCTGCTCACAATTTCTTTCTACAATCTGAAGCTGACAAAAATGTCAACAAATAGATTCTGTCTCCTCATCAGCAGATTGTTCAGTTGGTCTGTGATAGGGGTAGCCTTGAAAGTGTCATTAAAACAATCGCTCAGCTTTAAATTCGCCGATTTAGTTTCGCGCACCTTGTTCAAGGTCCAGACACACCGGACGCGATTCGACAACGCGACGCGATTTTTTGTTGCATGCCATATATGGCATGCAACTTTCATATAGCTCAAAATTTCGTGTCGTCGTGAGCGGTGATTGACCGGTGAGCGGTGGTGAGCGTACCGGTCACGTGGCAAATTAGTAAATTACGGCAATTACTGTGTTTTTCCGACGAGCATTTTCATCACTCATGCACGTTTTCGTCCACGGGCCCACGGCTTTCGTCGAGGAAAGGCAAAGCAAAATGTTTGATTGTTCGCTGAAAATTTACATAATTGAGCGCCTTAGGGGCTGTTCATATGAGCCCTGCTCTACCGGGATGGCCCGGCTAGCCGGGCTGGTTTTCAAGTGCCGAGATTCCGCCTCACATATTGTTTGTATACAGGGTGTATCAAAAAAAGTAAGACAATTTTGAAAGTGCTCTCAATTCCACAATTCTGTTCATGAAATGTAATTTTTTATATGTATGGATTGCCTGAGTTCTTAAATTATGGAAAATATAAAAAATTTTGAAAATAGTAAATTTTGCTATCCAGGGGGGTGGTCAACTTTTGCTCTCCTGAAAGTGGCTTGCGCGCGGAAATGACAAACGGTATTCTTTATTTGAGTTCATGTATGAAAAGTTCGCTATTTGTTGCATTTATGATAAAATTTCGGCAGGATTTTACAGAGTACAAATCCTCCGAAAAGTCTATGAAAACGTTACATTTTTCTCGGTTGGTGCTGTTCTTGCTTCATTATGAATTCATTTTTACTCCCATGAGAGTTCCGTGGAACGAATATCCAGATGCCCTTCACGTATTCGCACGTGAAGGGCATCGTACATCTGGATATTCTTTCGTGAAACTTTGGCGAACCAAGTTTATGTTGTTGCTACGGAGGAACTCTGATACCATGCATAAAAGCTCTCTACTGCGGAGTAAATTGTGGCATCGCCATTTCAAAGTGTACGGGGTATTATACGAGAGAATGCGTTTCAGCACAAACAACTCGAAAGCACAAATTCCATGGAAATTCCACGGAACTCTCATGGGAGTAAAAATGAATTCATAATGAAGCAAGAACAGCACCAACAGAGAAAAATGTAACGTTTTCATAGGCTTTTCGGAGGATTTCTACTCGGTAAAATCCTGCCGAAATTTTATCATAAATGCAACAAATAGCGAACTTTTCAAACATGAACTCAAATAAAGAATACCGTTTGTCATTTCCGTGCGCAAGCCACTTTTAGGGGAGCAAAAGTTGATCACCCCCCTGGATAGCAAAATTTACTATTTTCAAAATTTTTTATATTTTCCATAATTTAAGAACTCAAGCAATCCATATATAGCAAAAATTACATTTCATGAACAGAATTGGGGAATTGAGAGCAATTTCAAAATTGTCTTACTTTTTTTGATACACCCTGTATTAATTTCGGATTGAGTTCATATGAGAAGCGGGACAGCCCGGTTTGCCGGGCTCATATGAATGCACAACCGGGCTAGCCGGACTGGAAATTTGCGTGCTTTATTCCACTGATAAACAGTCTAAAATGTCCAAAACTATAGGAATTTATTGAAATTAAACCTCCTGAAGCTGTTGCCGTCGGCAAAAATAAAATTTTGCCAAATAAACACGAATTTTCTTTTCCCGCTAAAATATCGCGGGAAATCGTTACTATGAATAGATATGATTGCCGGGCTAGCCCGTCTCATGTGAAAGCAAAGCGGGCCAGCTCAGCAAAGCGGGCCAACCTCGTCGCCAGGGCCTTTTGACGAAGGAGGTGAAGGGCAGCAAAAGCCTTGGTAAAGGCTGGTCACGTGATGCTTAAAATTTTGAATATTTCAGAAATTTAACTTTCCAAACCGGGGGTGCGGGCCGCTTTGATTTCATTAAACATGGCCGTGCAAAGGCGTGATAGAAGCTTTTGCGACTGAAACTATGAGGATAAACTTTTCAACAGACTGACAGTGGGAATAAATATATAGTCTGCGATGTTTTTCAAAACAAATATGGAATATAATCAACAGTAATACTTGTCGAAGATCAAGATTCAAAAGAGAAGAGTGTAAACACTTTATAAATACTAACAAGTGACAACACTAAATATTTCTTTTCATATTGGAAGCGTGTTTTATAATATTTGTCGTTTGGGAGTTAACATATTATCAGCGGTAACATACTATCAGTGAAGTATTTGATCTGTGACTTTGATGTACATTTATGAAATGATAACTACTGAATGATGTGCCTGTAAAATGTGATTGGAACGTTTTAATAATTTAATATGAAGAGTTGGACTGTCACTGACTCACTGCCAAGAAACTCGTGACGTTTGACATATTTTAATGTGGAACAAACATTAAAAAAACATTAAAGTCCTGTACCTAGTAACAAAATTCCATGCCGATCATGGTTTACGTATGTATGTATTTTTACTAAAAGTTTTTACCAATATATACTGTATATTATTTTAAAACCTTTGTGTGTAACACAATGTAAATTTTGTGTGGTTTCGTTATATTTGACAACCATCAATATCAATTGATAAACAACTACACAAGTCAGTATATTTGTTGACAGCAAATTTATATAGTATAATACAAAAGCAATATCACAAGACTGAAGTGCTGTGCATGGTCTAATGGATTTTTCTCAGTCAGCAACTAGGCTCTTTGTGGCAATCAGGTATTCTTGGGGCTTTTAGCTTGATTTTTCCACATAACCGTGGTTTTTCACTTTTTTGGTACAACTATAGAATACCCCGCAACTTTCACACTTTACCGCTATTAATTCTTGGTAGAAATAAGTCAATTTACTCAAAATTGGTCTAATATAAATAAATAACTATAAATGATTGCCGTGTTCTTCAAAAAAACCCAGTCAAAGTTGAACCAAACTAACATATTCATGTGATTTAATTAATCTCTAAACTTTACCTTCTCTAAACTATTTTGAAGTGATTCTTGAACTTATTTATGTGTGTAAATGAATGCAGGAAAGTGGCGGGTATTCTATAGCATTCCAGTTTTTTTATGTGTATATTCGAACCTTCATTGTTGAGAGGGCATGCCATGGGTCTCCTCAAATTATCTGAGCACTTCAACCAAATCAACACCTGCCAAATGGCAATCTTACCATACAAATAATATACCTGGAAGGTGACTTACATCATATTGTGTCATGTAAATACTAAATAAATATTTGTATTCTCACAGTTAATGATATACAAATGCACTTGTAATGTACAGTGAATTGCCACAAAAAAATAAGTACCTGTTAATAAGTACCAGCAGATTTCTGCAGGTGTATAGGCGTATAGCAATACTTGAATCATAATTATATCTAACTGGCACAAACATCACCAATGATTTTAAAAATTGCATGTGCATATTTAATATCCCATACTTCCAATCCAGCAAACAAGTCCTCAGCAGACTTAATTGTATGGCATCTCAAAACAATGGAGTCTATGAGCTCCAATGTAACTCCAGTACTTATGTCTATTCCGCCAAACCTCTTAGTGCCTAATTGAGACCTGTATGCTATCAGCATGTCTCTGATTCTTTTTCGTTGCCCATCAGAAACATTTCGAACTGGCATAAGCTCTGTAACATCTTCATCATATTGCATGAAGAGTCTGGAAATTCCTTACTCTTTGTGCAATATAAGCATTGACAACATTTGGAACAGTTACTGCAACAAGAATGATTCCTATGATTTAGTTCGTTACATGGTGATCCCAAATAGACCATTATTTCATTTCTCAAACAACTGATTTCTTCCATACAAAAAGACCTCATTGCTTGTGTCATGCCGGGTTTGTTTGTTGCAATGCCATGACCATTAAAATATAATGTGGCATCTGCAGGCTTGCCATCTCGTCCAGCTCTGCCAATTTCTTGGTAGTAGACTTCGATGGTCCTTGGTACATTATGTCATGAATGTTCACCCCAATTCCAATGGCGATTGTAGCAAACACGACACGAACAACTCTATCTTCATTCTTGCCAGTCAACTGTTTCATGATCTCATGCTTCATCCTCTCAGTTTGTGGTGCATGGAACTGAGCAAAAAGACAATTTTCTGCATTTTTTTCCGATTGGGGAAAATAGCTTTTCTCTCCAATTTCATCCGTAAATAGTTTAAAAGCATAGCCACACCATTTCAGTGGCAAGTATATTAAAGTGAGTGGTTATTTCCTTAAACTATTCTTTAAATCTTTAGCAATTGGAAGAAGTATCGCGTTATAGCTGTCCGCTCCATTAGACCAGATTCGTTTTTCTTTTCTAATGTATATATTTGGTCTATCCAAATTAGCTACTGCGAATACAGGTTTGTAAAGTAGTAGAGATTTTATTATTGTTTCTCTGATATGTCTCCGTGCGGTCGCAGTGAGGACTAAGAAAGGTGCGGATGGAAAAATGGAACCCAACTGAGATAATTCCCCAAAATCAGGACGAAATTCGAAGCCCCATTCGTCTATAAGGTGTCCCTCGTCAATCACGCATGCAACAACACGTTGTTAAAAACGTCTGACAGCAGTACTTTTCTGCCTTTTCTGGAGGAGATAACTGCTTCTGGGTGAGCAAAAACTAATTTTGCATCTCCTTCTAAAATAATTTTACAAGGGCTTTCTTCTTCATTGTTACCTGCTTCGTCGTCCACTATGTACATTCCGCATGTACATTCCCATGCGTGATAGATGGGCGTTACCTTTATTTTAATGATTTGTTTGTTAAGTATATTATTAATATACAATATATGTTTACCGTATAATGCTATAAAAATATCTATATTTAGTGGTTAGTCATTCGTATGTTACAACTTTTAAAAGTGTTTTTTATAGAAGCAAATATTTTATACCACATTCCTATACAGTTTTGTCATTAAACGTTTATAGCAAATGACACTTCCAACTGGAAATTCCCAAGGGAAATTCCAATTTACGGGGTTACATAAATGGGCATAACATCACTTTTCAATGCTAATTCTACAACATGTCTTCCAAAGAAAGAACTCCTCAGAAAAAATACTACAAAGAAAAAAACGATATATGCTGTCTTTGCGGTGACGACAAACTTTCTGGCAAATTTACAGATATTTTTAGCTCTGTTGGTAGACGAAAAGGGATTGCTGAAAAAATAGAGAACGTACTCGGCATAGCCTATGAAGAAATCGAAGGACGACCTACGAAATTGTGTCGCAGTTGCCAAGGAAAGCAAGATAATTTTTTTGCATTTAAAGTGTCCGCATTCGAAACGCACAAGGCCATTATTAGGCAAGTTACTTCAAAGAGATGCATTGTGTTTCCTCCAAGTGAGTCTGGTCCTAGCACAAAAGCAATTTGTACCGTAGACGTGGAAACCCCTGTCCTTGATCTGACAGAGGAAAACACCTTAACTGGTCCAAGTGAAATTAGCTCGACAAATGCTGACCGTAATTTTGAAGTATGAAAAACTACTATATATACATTATTTATTTTAAACATTGAACATGTTAGAAATTATACTTATTATAGAGTGACTTATTATTGTAATAAATATTGTTATCATTCATCACGTTTCAAGTCGTCAATCCGTCTCGAAATTACTTAAATGATGAAGAAAAAGGGGATCTTTTGAAAGCTATCGAGTCTGGATCGTACTCGGTTGTTGCACGCGCGGTGGCGGGGATTGATGTACCAAAACAGGAGTTCAACGAAATACTCTTGAAGGAACTGCAACAACAGTGTGAAAACCTGTGCGCAAGATCAAACCCATCGGTCCTAAGAAAAAATGACTTTTCTGGTATGACTAAGTTTGACTGGCAGAATTTGGTATTAGAAATGTCATTTCGTTGTCCATTAGCGTTCCATGTTGTACGGACAGTTATGAACTGTTACTCAAAGGAAATCACGAATGAAGCAGCTCCCAGACTTGGCCTGTGCTATGCAATTATGATGCAGACCAGAAACCACGAACTAAGCTTGGTGCAGCGTTTAAACACGATCCTTTTGACCGAAGGCAATGCAAAGAAGAAGGTTACTATATTATGTTTTCATAGTGATAACTATATAGACCCAGAGCACTGACGTCACAAATTTTTACAGTGTGTTCTCCAGATCACAGAATATCCTCCCTAAAGGCGGTTTTCCACTAGCGAAGTTTTTTCGCGCGAAGCGACCTTTTTCCTTTGTCGGTATCACTTATTACGTCAGCGAGACGTTTCAAAATGGATGCCAGCAAACAGTGCCGTCGCGAAGGATTCGCTTCAGGGGGTGGGGGGGGGTTCGGTTAAATCTACCTGAAAGTCTCAAAATTTCGAATTTTACCTGAAAATTTTTTTTAGGAAAAATTTTTTGGCGACCTCTCACCCCCTCCCCCCCGTCGCCAAAAAAATTTTGGTTAGTGTACCATTTTAGGGGTAAAAAAATTTTCCGAACATATCAAAATTTTTCGCGACATAAAAAAATTTTCCAGATATCAAAAATTTTCCAGATATCAAAAATTTTCCAGATATCAAAAATTTTCTCCGTTTATCAAATGAATTTCTCTAAAATATTCTAAAATTTTAGTAAATATACCCGATTTTCCGGTGCACCCCTAACCTTGATTGGATAAATAGCAAACTCAGGAGAGTTTTTGCCAGCTCGTGAGTTGACAATTTGAGAAAATTAAGTTTAAAATATTTGTAGATATTTTCTCGACAAACAAACCTAATTTAAAGGCTTGAATAGGCATCTGGAAAGTTTAAAATGAGCAAACTGCATGTTTTCAACTACACTAAAGCTCTTGCTGTCTCCATCACCAAACAGTTCATCACATTGACGTTTACGTGAACTTACTGAGTGCTCAAATATATGCTTTGCGCCTTCCAGCTCAATAGCTGGTGCTGATCCAATATAGTTTGTTTTACACTTTAAGGCATGTTCTGCTTTCATTTCTTCAGTCTCTAAGTCATCTTTGCCTCAAACTTCATACAGCTGTGACACACTTTACTGAGAGGCTCCACATCTAAAATTTTAGCAGTTTCCATGGAGATTACCGGAAACACAACCACGTAACGAAGAGAATCCCCTTCTTTGCCAGGTACCGTCACATGATATAGCACTCCATTCTCACCACATTATTACTTTTCAAATTGTGGAGTTTGCCAACAGCATGTTTCATGGTTGATTCAGCTACTTCTTTGGTAGCATGCAAGATGGCATTTGTGCGGTAACTATAAGCCCTCGGGGTAATGGGTTCGGCATGTCCATTGTTGAGCAGAATCTTTGCATACCAGATAAGTCACAGCCAATAGACCTCATTCCGTAAATCATTCTCCTGTTTACTCCAAAACAATGACCAAGTTCTTTTGAAGTATAGAACTCTTCAGATTGTCCACACAAGCTACAGTTAAGAAAAAGACACGAAGCACAACCCATCCGCTTGGTATCATCTTCAACAAGTTCTCACTGGAACTCCAAATTATTACATACCCATGGCATGGATTTAACGATATTCCCCAAAATATTAACATCAATAATTCTATAACCAATCGACTGAAAGAGCACTTGCTTTATCAAGTAAACCAGTTGCTCTAGCCGAAGCTGAAATGTCTGACATACATGTGGTTGCGGCTTGGTCTTCTGATCTTGATTCAGACACATTTGATCGCTCGTACTTGCGGTGGATGTTTCGCTGGTTTTCAAACTTCTGAGTTTACATTGAACCGATTTCCACTAAATTTACGATTCTTTGAATAACCAGAACGTTGCTTAGGCATTTTCAAAGAAGTAAACCACAATTAGTTACCAAAAAAATGACTGAAACTTTCAATACAAGATGGCGTTGTAAGAAAAACTTCCATTTTAAAACGTCGATATTGTACTTCATTTAAGATATGTTATACTGGCTTCAAATACAAGAGTAATATGGGAGGGGTAAGCAGGTACAAATGTAGACTATTTTGGTCAGCAATAACGAGCCAATAACATCGATTTAACCACAGCATTTGGTTGCTAAGGTGGTTGCTATGGGCCAATTTCAATATTAGGCAACTTTGATTGCAAAATTTACCCCTAAGGAACTCAGATACGACAAAAATATAATGCTAGCATGAAAGTGCGTATGATGGAGCCCCCAAATTTATATATTTCAAAAAAGTGAATTTTTTGAAAATACAATGTATAAGACCACCTAATGTAAATTGAATAACTATCAATTATGCAAGATATGTTTGGCGCTTCTTTTAATAAATTGTGCGTTCTATCCATCGCTTAAGTAATATATGTTCTATAGATTTCAATCTTGGATTTGGACCGACTTTTCCATGGTTCCAACCATGGGCGTACCGGAAGGAAAAAATTAGGGGGGCGGAAAGAAAATTGCCCGACTTTCCGAATTCTGCCCGACTAGTATCAAAAAAATTTTTCCGGAAAAATTATTTTGGCGACCTCTCCCCCCCCCCCCGTCGCCAAAAAAATTTCGGTCAGTGTACCATTTTAGGGGTCAAAAAATTTTTTCGGACAACCAATTTTTTTCGGAACATAACACAAATTTTCGAAAAATCGCAAAATTTGCCAAAAAATTGACTTAATTTTAGACAAAATTGACAGAATTTGTCCCATTTTTTTATTGCAAGCCAAAATTGCCCGACTGTTGATCGAATATTGCCCGACTGCCCAAAAAACTGGGGGGGCCGCCCCCCCCGCCCGGTACGCCTATGATTTATAACAATGGGCCATGGCGACAGCGAAGCAACATTATAAATGCGGCTAATGTGGTCGCACGACTTCCCTCACGATTTGAAGTTTGAGACTGGTTTTATGTTCAAATTCGTCCTAATTTGCCTGTTCCGATTTTAGTTGAAAACGAGCACTTGCAAATTTGACAATTACTGACTGCGTTGCTTGCTTTTTTGGAGTTAAATCGCAGCCATTTACACATTGTTTATGTTCTGAATAAGCAGAGAAAAGCCCGCAACATTTTAATGCGAGTTTGTTTGTTAATATTTTGGTGCTGTCATTGGTTCTTTTTGACAATTGACGCGCGAATGGGGCGTGTTATGAAAAGGGGCGTTTTACAAAATACCGGACCTTGCTTGCAGGCCCACTATCAGTTCCCTTGGGCCTGCACGCGGGCTAAGTTTTGTCATAAATCACAAAAATACCTCAAATACAATAAATGCAATATACAGTATTTAGTTAGGTTGCTGTGGTGGCGAACAAAAGTTTCGTGAAAATATTCACTTCCTGTAATGTGTCCACGAGAAGTTTTCGCGAAGATTGCGCGTGACTTTCAAATGATTTGTTTTTTTATTTTGAACCTAAATGGTTTACGGGAGGGTTTTTCCTTCCATGTGCAACTAATGTTTTCAATTTTTCGATTGAGACTATTCTACAATGAAGTGCTCTTGGATACTGTAATCTAAATACATACAATATCGAAGGTAAAATACACTGCACTGTTTCAAAACTTGATGAAACTTGGTTGAAATATTCTTTAGCCATTTATCATTATGTAAAAGTGCAACAACTGGATGATATTTGCGAGACTCGGCGATAAAAAGCAAACACGACGCCAAAATATGGCTGAAATCGTGTTTTCGTGGGGGGTGAGTGAAATAAAATGTATTATATTTAAATAAATAAAACAATGACAATCCTTATGAAAACTACAATAATTATATTAAATTAAGCATAGTTTTTTTTAGGAAATAAGAACATTTAATTTCTGCCAGGCATATTAGTTATTTTATGCATAATTAGCAATTTACCTGGGGTGGTGCATGGTCATTTTCTTGTAAAATATTATACTTAGAAAAATTTTTCCTTCCATTAACCACCCCTAAAAGCAACCCTTCTAAACACTATAAGCACTTCAGAAAGGCTGTCGCTTTTCGTTTTCGGAAGTTGGAGCTATGTCGGCACTGCCGTTTCAGGGCGGGGTCATTTTCGGGACTTTCGCCCCGGATTCAGGTTTTGGCACATATGCCATGTTGACCGCCATGGTCATTTTACCCTAAAACGTTGAGATTACCTGTGCTAAATGAAACGCATACAATGATACAAACATCTATACAGGCCCTAAACTAATAATTTAAAGGCCTAATACTTAACACACAATAACATGGCAAATGTTGTATTCATGCACCCTCTATGTAATGAAATAACTTAAAGAAATGACAGCATTTTTATTTTTCTACGGTTTATTCGACTATATTTTAGTTATCTCCAAGAATGAATGATATGAAATTACAAGCATAACAGTGCCTTATATAACCTAGTTACAAGCTACTGCGTGTCTTAGAGTGATGATGATATGCCTATTAATTAATATATAAAACAATGTAAGTGTGTAGTTGGATGTGTTCACATTTACTATGGTCAAGATATATTGTAATAAGTGAGTTTCCTTATAGCCTTTTTTTGAAGAAGGGCTATTAGTGCAGTTTGGATTCAGCCCGTCCACATATTTTCATGCTTTTCAGAACTTTCCATCCTTCGGTACGTAACACCTTGTTTTTCCAGTAAAAGATTAAACAGTTAAATGTACTATTCATCAAAGCTACGGTTGTATCCCACATCATTGCAAGGGTTGCATTATCCAAAGTATTTGTTGTCTCTGTCGAATGTATTGTTAGTCCAATGTAGACGAATGCTGGGATGGATAACACCACAACACAAGCGACTGCCAGCAAACAACTCGATATATTTTTCATATTGGGCGATATTCTTTTGTTTTTACGACTTTTCCTGACGACTAGAAACAGTTTATAGTTGATGAATAACATTGTAGGAATGAAAAGAATATAAATAATTAGAATATGTATTTGGTAGGAAATAACATAGTCATTTACAGACATCACTGCCAAAATTACTTCGAGGATGATCAGTATTGCAAGAAGAGTTAAAAGTCTTCCCTTCGTTACCGACGTTCGATGAAAGATAGGATAAGACGTCGCCAAATATCGGTCGACATTCATCACCAAAAGAGCGAGTAATGAAAAACCAAGGAAAATATTTGTCGATCTTAAGGAAATATGAGGCCATCTAGCATTTCCACCCACCTTTCCCTTCAACCATAGCATGGCGATAAGGGCCATCAATGGATTATTAGTTAAAACCGTAAGCAAATCGCAACATGACAAAACCATTATCATGAAATAACATAATTTCTTTCGAAGTTGTACAGATCTCCTGAAACTGAGTATGACTAAGGAGTTTAAACATATTCCTGAGAAAAAGAAGACTAGGTTCACCGCAAATATGAATATCAGGTTGATGAAATAATAAGATTCCATCCTTGAGCGACTTCTTCTGAAGAATTAACGCAAAAACGGTTTAAAAGTTTATTATTGCATTATAGTCGCACAAGGTGGTCACACCTGTTTTTAATTTTTTAATTTTTAACAATGGGCTAATTACGCATCGAATTTTACTCTGTTCGGCAATTTTTCTATTTTGTCATCCACTTTTTATCCAAATCAGTTAACAAAAATTTAGTTAATTTGTCCTTTGGTAATGCTCAATGGTCAAAGTTAAATCATATTTAAATTTAGTCGCCAAGACTAGACTATTTTTATTTCGATTATTTGAGTATTCTTTTGACAGCTATTCCTTCTTATTCTTTTAAATTTTGAATATCCTTTCACAGACTAATTTGAACACTCAGATATACGCGTTTGTAATTATCATGCAATGACAGAAAAGTCGTCTATTTTAAATCGATCGTGTTAGTTCAGTTCGCAATGATAGAAAAAATATCTCACTCGATAGCTGAAGGCCTAATCTTTATTAGGATGGGAAAATTAAATCTACATACCGAATACTTAACGCACAATAACATGGCAAATTTGTTATACACCTTGTATGTAATGAAGTAATTTAAATAATGAAAGCATTTTTATTTTTCTATGTTTTATTCGACTATAGTTACCTTATATTATATACCCTAGTTACTACAGGTGGCTGTCTCTTATAGTGACGATGACATGCGTATTGGACCGATGGCGGAGGCGACAACAGACGACGACAACGGTTTGGTTTCCTTCATCAATTGCAGTTCTTAGTTTGTCACTTAGCTCAAGAATTGCTTGCTCAGTGGAATAATGGTGCAGGCAACAACAGACAACAACAAGGACAACGGTTTGGTTTCCATATTATTTAATTATACAAACAAATCTGCATAAAATATAATCTGAAGCTATATTTTATGCAGATTTGTTTGTATAATTAA